TCGAAGGTAACGATAGGTTCTCGACATTTTCTCTCTCTTTCTCCCCTCCCCCTCTCTCCCTCTTTCTGTGTGTGTGTGTGTGTGTGTGTGTGTATGTGTGTGTGTATGTATATGTGTGTGTGTGCATGTGTGCGTGCGTGCGTGCGTGCGTTTCTCTCTTACACACAGGAACGCACAAATCACAAAAGTCTGGTAAGTTGATGGCCAAGCTACAACTTCGTCCACACTTCCTTGTTTTGTAATCGACAAAACCATCTTTGGATTCTGTTCTTAAGGTGACACATTGCCTCGGGCGTAGTTTCGTCTTTTGAGCCAGATGTAGAATAAGACATTTTATTTTCGGAAAATGTTCGTGTGTAACATGATTATAACATGTTTATTACACTTGATATACGTATTTTCATATTACATATGTTACATATATTACTTACGTCACATTATTTAATAGTGTTACGACTCAGAAATATAATCGTGAGACATGATGATGAAGAAACTAGCCTCATGTTCGAGTGTTCAGAAGGTGGGCTGGATGCTGGAATTCCCCAAATATAAAATCTCAAAATTATTGACTATTCTGAGTTAGGAAAAAAAGAAGAGAGATCTATTAATTTCTTTTTGGTCTGAGTCAGTCACTATAACCGTGTCCGTGTGTAACATGGAAAAAATCATTAATTTAGAGAAAGAGAGAGAGAGAGAGAGAGAGAGAGAGCAAGCGAGAGAGAGAGAGAGAGAGAGAGCGAGAGAGAGAGAGAGAGAGAGAGAGAGAGAGAGAGAGAGAGAGAGAGAGAGAGAGAGCGAGCGAGAGAGAGAGAGAGACAGAGAGCGAGAGAGAGAGCGAGAGAGAGAGAGAGAGAGCGAGAGAGAGAGCGAGAGAGAGAGAGAGAGAGAGAGAGAGAGAGAGAGAGAGAGAGAAAGAGAGATTGAGAGATAGGGCAGGTAAGTGAGGAGAGAGAGGGACGGGGGGAAATGGGGAGTGGAAGGATGATGGGAAGGAGAGAGAGAGAGAGAGAGAGGGAGAGAGAGAGAGAGAGAGAGAGAGAGGCAGGCAGAGAGAGAAAGAGGCAGAGAGAGAGAGAGAGAGAGAGAGAGAGAGAGGCAGGCAGAGAGAGAAAGAGGCAGAGAGAGAGAGAGAGAGAGAGAGAGAGAGAGAGAGAGAGAGAGAGAGAGAGAGAGAGAGAGAAAGAGAGAGAGTGAGAGAGTTCTTTCAATGATAATAATTCCAATGATCATGATATCAATAACAGTAATAATAATAAAAGTAATTAGTACAATACATTATCATTAATAATGATGGTACTGAACAGATGATAATCCTTATAAAGAAAATCATCAAGAACAAATATGATATAATGATAGTAATAGCAATAATAATGATAACAATAATAATGACAATAATAATAATAGTAATAATAATAATGATAATAATAATGATACTGATAATAATAGTAATAATAATAATAATAATGATAATAATAATAATGATAATAATAGTAATAATAATAACAATAATAATAATGATAATAATTATAATAAAATTGGTAATAATGATAAGAACAATAATAGAAAGAATGATAAGAACAAAATAATAGAAATAATTATAAAAATAACAGTAAATAACAGTAATCATAATAATCGCAATGTTAATAGTTATTGTAATAATAGTAGTAGTAATCATAATTGATACCAATAAAAAGGAGACAATCAAATCCCTCTCCCTCGCCGTCTCGCCTTCCTTCCCGTTCCTCCCTCTTCTAGATAAGACGAAAACGCGGAGAAACATTTGCCGGACTGTAAGTGTAGTCGTTGTCCTAGGCCTGACGTTAAACTGCATCTGTCGGATTGTCGGCGACTAAACCGGCTCCCCCACCTGGTTACCATGGTAACATTGTGAGGAGGGTGTGTGGACATCCCGCAAGACGAAAAATAAGACCTGACAAAGGGCGGATGAGCTCCTTAAGAGCCAACGGCCATCCATATCAGGAGAGGAGATGGGCACCGCCAGATTATTGCCCATTGAAACACAATGATGAAAAATTGTGCCCCAACGGCCATCAGGCTACGGGAGTGACCTGACCTGACCTGAAGTGTAGTCGGACATTTCCTCCTGACAACACGCAGACACATACACACATATGTCTCCCTCTTTCTACGCACACACACACACATACATATATGTATATGTGTGTTTGTGTGTGTGTGTGTATGTATATATATATATATATATATATATGCATACATATTTATATATATGTATATATATCTATAATATATATATACATATGTACACACACACACACAAACACATATGCACACACACACACACACACACACACACACACACACACACACACACACACACAAACAAACACACACACACACACACACACACACACACACACACACACACACAAACAAACACACACACACACACAAACAAACACACACACACACACACACACACACACACACACACAAACAAACACACACACACACACACACA